GTCCAAGCCGGGGCTCGAACCGGCAACCTTCCGATTACAAGGCAAACTCCCAACTCTTGAGCCATGATCACCCCTAGATGGAAAGGAAGAGGAACTGTTGGTACAGCATTAAATACGCTATGTGGAGACTGTAGACAGAATTGGGGAAATAATTTACAGTTCTTAGTTTTTCTATGTTTAAGGTAAATAAACAGTTTTTAACTACAACTCTATTAACGCTATTAGTCATGAGGTCCAGTCATAAAGCTCTGCAGCTCTGCTGATAAAAAAAAAAACAAAATCATTGCCTTGTTTAAAGGTAGTTACTGTCTCCTAAATGGCTGAAAGGTATCCTTATGCAGTAATACTTGACCTGTAGCACTCCTGCTGATGTTAGATGACTTCCTGGAAGTCCTGTTCTTCCTGGAAGTCCTGCTACTTCCTCATACATATTTAATTTTCATGAAGTTCAAACTTGTAAAAAAGGACAAATATCAACTTGTGTCAAACTAACCCAAGCTTCAAGCTGAGCTGATGAGAGTTGAATCCAGAAACCAAACAGATTTTTTTTTCTGTACACTGAAATTTTACAAATGTATAGCTGAAATAAAGATGAAGATGAGCACCAGGACAGTAGGCTTTTCCAGGTCATAAATGCAACCAGGAGCATCCCTGTCACTTTTTCATCAATCATGTTGGACACCGTGAATTGATCCCCCAGGATTACTAACAGTGTTCTGAGGGCAAACCTTTGGTGCAGTTGACCTGAACTGTGGTACATGTCATCATATATGCTGTGGCAGTGCATTAAAAGTCAGGGTTTTTTTTGCCTCACTATACATATTTCCCAGTTTGGGCTTCCAGTGACATTGTGAATTTGAAGATACATAGTGCTTTGTATTTCATTTCTAATTTTGTTGCATATTGTTCATGCGTTTCAGATCATCGAATTTTAATTTTAGATTAAGATAACCTTAGTAAATACAAAATGCAGTTTTTAACTGATGATTTTATTTATTAAAATTAAGAGTCCTATCCAATATCACCTGGCCCTTTCTTTAGATATTAATAAAATATTCTGATTATGATTCAGTTTCACTTCCCACACTGAGGCCTAATTACTGCTAGATTTGATGAATCAAGGAATCACTTAAATAGAACCTGTCTGGCAAAGTGAAGCAGGCGAAAGGCAGTATATCATGCTATGATCTAAAGAAACAAAGTCATGATTCTAACCACAATTCTAAAACCAAGCCTTAACCCACACAAGCTCGCATGGGTTAGAGTACAGTCAGGTTAAAGTCCCCACCAAGATATACTGTTCATGCAACACTTGTCTACGCAAATTAAGTGTTTATAGTAGGAAATCTGTGCAAGAGCACAAGCTTAGAAGCCAATTTACCCCAATTAGTTGAGATCTAAACCTGTCGGAGCTGCAGATGGTTTTGACTTTTACTAACCTCGTTTCCAGGCACTACAGTATGTCTGCTACCAAACAACTTTCACTCATGTCACTTTTTTCTTTTCTTTTTTTAACAGTTGTCTATTTTACTGTCACTCACTGTATTTTAGATGGGTTGGATTTGCTGCTTAGTGTTGTTAGTTTTGTCATTTCAGAGGTAATGTGACTTCTATTTGACCCTGTTCGTCTAAGCAAGAGGCAAGAAAGCCTGCCTCTTGACCTGTGTATTGCAAGTCAGAAACTAATAAACACAATGTGATAGTTTGCTCCTAGAAGAATGATGAAGAACAGGTTTGACAGAGTGCAGACAGTAGTTAGAAGAGATATATGCGAGTGGTTGTTTGACTGCTCACAGTTGGAATGTTTGAATAGTCAAAAAATGAATTAATGTTTTCCATGTCGCTTTCATAATGTTGAATACTCGTTTATGGGTCAGAATGAAAAGATAGAAATGGTCACTGACTGAGAGTTGGTCTTAATTTCATTTGACCTTTGGCCTCAGAGTGTTTAAACTCTTGCCCCATCTCAAATTAAAACTCATACCACTTGTAATGGCAGATTTGTGTTATAGATTGTATGCATTCATGGAAAACTGACAGCTTGAGGCTTCCTTTTACAACAGAAAAAGCTGAGCCCAAGAGTGATACACTGGGTCACTATGACACCAGGAAGATGCACTCCACCAGGTGGTAGTGTTTAAATTAACTTCGCTGGTATTTGTTTTGGGAGGGCTTGTCATAGCTGATGCAACTTTAACAATATCCCTTTCCAAGATGTTCTCTTCTCTGACCAGACACTGAGCAGAGCTATACATGCTTCTGAAGTTTAAAGGAAACTACTGATGCCAGGGAACGCTTTAAAATAACAGAAAGTGTGGAGCATTGTCGGAGTAGGAGACACACACACATACACACACTCAGGTGCCAGTAGGCAGCCAGCTCTTGCTTAAGTATGTATGACTGCCAGGTAATCATGGGAGATTTGAGGGACACTGAGTGTCTATGAAGACCACGCACCTCTGCTGATGAGCTGGCCGATGAGTGCATAGCTCAGATTTCCTTCAGTCTCACCACAAGGGCTCCCACTTCTCACAGTTGGTAACAAGGGGCTTTCACTGGGGAAATTACACTGCCTTGACATGTTCTCCCTGTCTGCCTTGGATTTCGTTGGGCATGGGGTTATATGTATGCAAGACCTCTGGGACTTTGTCTCTGCAGTTTTTAAATACAATGAAAATTTAGGAAAGTATAATTGCGCTGCAGCAGACTCTGACCTTGTAGTTTTCCATGCTGAAATCACCTAACATGAAGGCAGCCAAATGTCTTCTTGTTTTGTTGGTTGAAACGTACAAGAAGTATCCAGGTGGTTGGTACAACCTTTCTTGTCAGCATTACTTAGGATGGGCACTCACTTGTGTTGTTTTAGCCTTGTACACTTGGCTTAATGCTATGGAGGAATTTTTGTTGTATTAGTGTAGAAATGTTGGATTGAACTGAATAGGTTGAAAACTGCACAAAAAAACTGGTCTGTTAGTTTTCCTAACATTGACAAAGTTTGCTCTCTAGCCAAACCATGACAGTGTGTTTAGACACCATTAATGAGTAATATATAACTACAAGTGAATGCTGTCTTATTGGTAAACATTAAGCTTAGGTCTACTTGATCACTGTCACTTGATTTCAGGCTGAGGTGTCGAGGTAAATTTTTACAGTAGGTGCTGGCTGAAACACTGAGATAATATGTCTTTAAAGATGGCACCACAAACTTTACCCACCTGAAGAGAATACAAATAGAAAGCTTTTGCATATATAGCATGTGTCACTCATTTATTAAGGTTGATCTCCTACCATATACATTGGTCCACTTCATATGATTAAATCAGCTGTTTCTTCCGGTCCACTTTAAGAAATTAAAATCTCTGCTGCATCGTCATAGTTAATACTAATACTTTGTAATACTTTGCCCTTTACAAATAATTATAATTATAGACACTACAACTAATATCAATAAAAAGTAAACTAACTCAAAATTAAGAAATAAGAGCTAATTAGAAAATGTAAACTGTAATAACTCGGGGTTAGGTCTTGTGTTTTCAGCACAGCTGAACATAGCTGAGAGGAAGAGCATCAAAAGGTCAAGTCGCATTCGTTTTTTCTAAACTTTTTTGTTAAACAAACTTTGCAATCTATCAAACTCATGCAAAGAACTGTGGAAGAAGTCTCTCTTCTTAATATGGTAAATGGTAAATAGACTGGTATATAGCGCTTTTCTACTCAATCTGAGCACTCAAAGCGCTTTACACAACTTGTACTTTCACTCAATCACACCCATTCGCACAAGCACTTTTTTCTACACTGTGTCTAAGTGCTTTCTATCTAAAGTTCATGCTCATGAATATACACTAACATGAACTAATCAAATTAAAATCATTAGATCTCCAAAAGCCAAAAACCCTCTAAAATGCACTTTTAGTCCTGGTAAATTAAGGAGCAGCCGAGAGGCGTCGGGTTGTTCAGTGAAAGCCAATATATTGGCCCCCAAC